ACCTCAAGCTAAGTACAGAAGTTTCATTACATCCACATATTACGAGGTATAAAATTAGTGACATTATCTCGAGATCCATTGATAGTTTTTGTGATTAGATATGTTCAAAAGATTGTGCCTTACTTACTAGTTTTGGGCAATGAATATTACTGTAATGTATTTAACTTCAAAAATTGGAGTACTGACTCCCGCCAGAATGGCGCACTATTCTCATTTAACTGAATGACATTGGCAGCTGTCAGATTGTCCATGCCGATGTTCTAGTGTTGCCCGATTTTCTTGTTAATACTATATACAGCATTATATTTGTAAGAAGCTATAGCTTACATTCAAAACCGATATCTTGGGTAGATTCTGCAGCATCTTCCATTCTCGGCGAATGTAATCGACGCTGCCGACGATGACGACGTGCTTCAGCTCGTGGTAGTGGAAGTTGGAGGCGCGGAGCGGCATCACCAGGTTCCTCAGCCCGATCAGCGGTGAGTCCGGGTCCGCGAACAAGCACACAACCACGTGACCGTTCAATACCGTCATGGCCGCTTGATTTCTGTCCTGTTAAGGTTAGAATATCTTGTATTATATGTTCTGTAAACTAACAAAGATAAGGGTTAAAGCATTTTGGAGGTTAAAGCATCATATGTCTGGAACTACATTTTTAGGACACAGAAGATCAAAATAGCATAGATGGGGTAGTTTATAGTAGTTACTACGTACTAGTATACAGTCCTCGAGGTTTCTCGCGGGGCTCCAGTGGAACATTCCAGTGGAGTCGTATTTCATTTCAGTCTTTTCGAAGTCGAAATCTTTCGACTGGTCATCCGCCAGGCCCGCTGGCAAACTCACGCCGTTGCTGTTTTGATTGCCCCCACTACTTCGACTCGTCGGCCTAAGCAAATACAATTATTACATTATTTTCAACATTATCACAACTATGAGGGAATTTTATTGATTTTTGTTTAATATTTTTAATAGTGAAAAAAGTTTTTATTTAACTAATTTCGCATGCGTGGTAGAAAGGCAATATTTGTTGTAAATTGTACACTGTGTTGCCAGATTACGATGGCAAAATTGTGTTTTTAGTGCAACTGTAATGCAATCTCAGTTTGCAAAAGTAAAGTCAGCGCTTCCAAACTGAATTAAAATTGTTAATATTAGTTCTACAATTATTTGTGTTCTTGATGATCCTGTTTCATCCAAGAGATTGAGAGGGATGGGATATTGTATACAACTGACACTTGTATACACTATTTATACAAGTGTCAATTGTATACTGACAGTATACAGTTGTTACTTGTATACATGGTGTATACAAGTACTACTTGTATATAAATGGTACTGTTGTTCCTCCTTTCGGAGAGATTGAGAGGGATTGCAGCATGTTTTATACAAGTGACAATATATTTACATATTTGTTTGGAAAGCAAATTTTACTTCGACAAATAAGATTAAAAATATACACATTTGGTCGATTTATACAGTAGGACCATTCTTCTGTTTTATTGCTGGATTACTTACCACTAGCATAATTTACCTACTTGTAAGCTTTCGCTAAACTTGCATTTTCTAATCTATTTTAAAATCTAGTTGTTAGTATAATATTAAGGAGTTTTTACACCATTTTCATAATAAATATGATAAAGTACACTAGTTATATCTGTCTGGCTTTTTCCTATAATCAAAGGTCAAAGACCTGAAGCGTTTTTACTTTCTATGTAAATGCCTAAATTCCTGTTATAAGCGACTTAGAGCATAATTGTGATAAATGAAAGCTTCTCGTGGCAGTTTTTGATAAATCCCATAGCCGGTAAAGATCAGAAAAAGATACACTTTAAATTTTTTTTAAAATGGATCTTTTTAACATGCTGTATCTTTTGTCTTTGCGCCAATGACATAGATTAAGTGTTTTTGTGCCCTTATTGGACGATTTAATTTTTGTAGATAACATTTTTCTGTGTACCGCATTTAAACAACTTTAAATTTGTACTCTCATCCTATTAAAGCAGTAATAATTATTTCAAATTGTAATCTATACTATTATAATAAATCGTAAACACACACTTCTTTGTAGCCTAAGATCTCAGCAATTACAGTATATTTTTGAATAATTGTTATTTTAATAAAAAGCCCTACACTTGCGTCCCGCTTTAGACGACATATTTTAACGCCATTAAAGTTAGGGGGTAAATATTTTGGACAAAAACCCTAATGTTGGAAAAATACCATAAGTTGCTGCCAACATCAAGGAAGCAAGGTTGTCATCATGTCATGTCATTTTGACATTTGTAATTTGACAAACGTAAACAATAAAGTAATTTTTTTATAATTTGATGCTGATGAAGTCGCACGGGAATACCTAGTTCTTAATAACGTGAAACAAAAAAACACCTGTGCTCTGTGTAATTTTGTTAACAGTGTCAAGATTGGTCACACGAGCAATAAGATGGTAAAGAGAAGAGTAAAAAAATGTAAAATAATAAAAAAAGTCTACAATAGCATTTATAGCTTAAACATGCTTACACTAGAAAGTGCTGTGCGTAATTTTGTGCAAATTAAACTGGTCGAATGAAAGAAAATCTATAAAAAAACTAACTCTTCTAAAAAAAACGTGAAGCAAGCATAACTAACTGGCTACGTAACAGAATGTTTATTTCTTTGTTTTAATGCATTTAAAGTTTCCAATCTACAGATAATATAAAATGTCTAGCTGATATATTGTTTAATGGAATTACATTAGCTTTTTCACTTCGTAGGCAAGATGATACGCCTGGTAATTCGTATCTTGCTCTGGCGGATTCCTGAAACACAGGGTCAAAAATCGACTCTAATTCAAGGGGTTGCAGGCTGTGACAGATTATACATATATGCTAATAAATTATACAGATAATTTTTTATTATTAAGTGCCGTGCACACTGTGCTTAAAATAAACTTTCTTACAGCAAAACATTGAAGGACAGTATAAAGCTGCGACAGATAAATAATCAGAGAAATGGTGACGTCATAGGTGTAATAAGTAAAAATATCCTCTTTGTATTTAAATAAAAATAAACATGTATATTATTCATTTTACTAACACGATTTACATACATCGCAAATTAATATTAACGTTATTAAAACTATTATATTATTATTACTATTTTGGTGCAATAATAAATAATTTTGTATTATTAGATATGTGCTTAATCTTAACTATTAAATATTAATTTATCCGGTATATTACGACAAAAACAAAGACCCTATTGTTAAAAACGCCTTGCTGGATTTATGCTTTTTTCATAGATTATTTAATAATAGATGAATTGTAATTTTAATGCGGACATATAAATATTTTAACCTAAAAATGTATTGTGTATTTCAATTAATTTATCTCATATTACTCCAGCAATTACATTAACAAATTACCAACTAATAAAAGGACAACCGTCTCTTATTTTTTTTTACTCTATGACCACATACATTTGAAATACAAGTATACATTAAAACAGTATACAGACGGTATTGTGTACTGTATACAGTCGGTAAATAAAATATCTCGATTGTATACTTACGTGTCCGGGGGCGCTCTGTTGACGTTCGGTTTGACCTTGTTGACCTGCCTCGTGGTGGTGTTGGCGAGCTGGTTCGCCATCGGAGACAGCAGAGCTGTCGGCGCCGCACTACGATGGTTGCGGTTTATTACTGGAAACATTAACTTAGATGTAAATATAATTGTATATTTTGCTACATTTGCTGCGTAATGAGGGGCACACACGTTCGGTTTTTTAATCTAGACACCGAGTTTATTATTTACTTATTTCAATGTGTATACCTCCATAATAGATTAGGTAATCGATTGGAGGCCAGAAAGAGAAGGAACTAAATGTTTTCTCGAAGATTTATCTTTTTTAATATACATTTGTGAAAGAGTAGATGAATTCACTTATATGCCATGCCAAGATTAAGAAATGAGTGTCGCAAAAATGAAATAATACATAACATATTATTATATACTTACAACTAATATCTTCGCCTCTTTCTCTTGCGACTTCACCTGAAGAAAAATATAGAAGTGAATTTATAACAAAGCCGTTAGCGTCGAAATAAATATATATTAAATTTGTTAGAATAATTGTTAGTTTCTACAACAAAAGCGCAATAAGATGCATTCAAAGGGTTACAACCAAAGACACACAATGCTACAAGACGTTCCCAATGCTTAGCACAGGAATACCAACCAGAAATGATGTACATGTCCGCATTAGAGTTAACCAAGAAGCATTTCTCGAAACTTTTATATTATTTTATACATTGTTAAAGGAAGTGATGCAAAGTGAGAGAACTAGTTTTGTTTTGCGATAGATTAGGGATTATTTAGAGATAAACGTTATTGTTCGAACAATCGCTTTAAAGCGATTTTATGGAATCTACGGTTATAGCCGGGACCATGCTTGATGAAAGCGAAATTCTGGATAGAAAGGCTCTCAAAGCCTAAAGTGCTTTGTGAAAGGCGTGTTAAAGCAACTAAGTGCAACTCGTTTTTAAACTTAGATAAGCACAACGCTGGCTGTATCGTGTGGGCCGATGACAAGAAAATAAAATTAAAAAAAAACCACTCAGTCGTTGAGGCTGAGATGTACCTCGAACATGGACCTTCTTGGGCAACTCTGGCGGCGTGAAGGTGGGGGGAGGATGGTGGTCATCTGCAAAACATCAGCACAATTTCGCATTCCGATACACCACTCGACCGATATACATACAAACGCAAATATACAGCGCGTGACCTCTGGTCGTACGTCATATATCGTATGAATGAAGTAGTATGGTTCGGTTTCACTTTATTATTTACATTTAATTACAAATCGTGGGAAAGATTAAAAAAGATAATGCAATTTAAAAAAGTTTTTACTATTTTTTTACATAATCATGTATTATTTGCTAAAGAAATTTAAAAAACAATGTTACTGTTTTACTGTATATACAGTAATTTGAATTTAAATATTTTAAATGATATTCAATAAATTTAGATAAGTTTTTAAAGTGAATCCGCATTAATCAGAAACATTTACAAAAACAACAAAGTTAGTATATCAAAAGTAGCATAAAAAAACTACACATCACATTCACATGCAACAAACAGACATATAAAATACATTCGATACATATATCTATATTAAGCCGTGTACTATATATGGGCGGTGAAGATATACTATTATATTATTCATATAATTAACGAAATAAATGGTACTAATGGCTTCAGTGAATAATGAATATAGAGGGTGATAGATATGTTTTTTTTAGCTAGCTATCGTTGAAATGACTGAGCTACAAGTTAATGGAAATCATCAGTTTACAAACAAACGATGTTGGTACCATGAGAATCGACGGGGATTGACGCAGTGGGCAGCAAATCCTTACGGTTCTATCGATGGCGGGCCATCTATTTATTATAAAACGCTCCCTAAATTGGGCGATGATAATTAGAATAAATAAAAACAAATCAATTAAAAGCGAATAAACATTTCACAACATCAATATCAGAATTTCTATCGATGCAGTATAAAATTTGAATATACAAAAATACACCTAATAAATATAATCGACCAAAATAAACACAACATCTAAATTATACATCACATCGTGTCTCGTTTTATACATTTGCTAAAGAGACATCTAATCGTTTTATAAATGCACATATAACGTGGACAAGACAATAATGACGTCACGGTTCGCTATAGTCTAGGAGCCGCGCCACCGCAATGCGCGTCACAACACAATGACAAATGTTACTCAAAGTACGTACTTGCCCTTCCGACCATCTGGACGGCTCGTACGCCTTTCCTGAATGTGGCCACTGAACCGAGAAATAATAGTTTTTAATCTTAAAATTTTAATAATTAAATTTTTATATTAATAGGTTTTTGGCGGTTATACATCCGGTATACAACGCAAATTATATACGTTAACACAGACAGCGATGCAAAGCTGAGCGTTTTTTATACGTTCTGAATGTGAGTTACATGACAACCACTACTTTGATTACTAAAGTTCGCGTTGATTGCCTTAAAACCATTAATAGTTATAAGCACATAAAAGCGTTAACATTTCAGTAATCAAAGTCGATCGTAATAAATAACCTAAGTCGAGTATTTGTGTTGTTATTGTGGTGTAAGCGGTTAATACACATGTGATATAGCGCTGCCTGATTTCCAATTGCGTGTACCGATTATCGTGTATTAGCGTACTATCAACCAATATAATAAATAAGAGCGATTATTAGTCTAGCAAACGAGTACGTGTTGGATACGGTATTTGAGCGCGCGTTCCGTTCGTACCGTCTGTGCAATCTCGATACGTATTAAGATTTTGTTTCACCATTCCGGACTGCATCATCATCATTCCGACATCTGTAAAAATCCAAAAACTGACACAAACGTACGGTCGATTCGGCCCTAATGTTAAAGTAATGATTCGAATTTAACGGAATCAAATAGAATTTATATATTCAGTTGATCCCATCAGATTCATCGATGACATGAGATGCGACCGGGGTTCTCGACAGTTCATGAGTTAGTCACTCTCATTAGCACAGACAAGCTGGAACCGATCTAAAAGCATTTGCTCCTCAAAGCTCGTAGATATCGGGGTATATTTAGCGATTATTCACTCGGAACTTTCTGAGACATGCTTTCGTGGATCGATGGCAACAGAATATGTTCGATCTAAGTGTTCTTGGAATAATGAGGTGCAAAATTGCAGTTTACCATTGTCAACTCTACTATATCAGATACATGCAATGCCTGTGCCGGGCTCTGAAGTGCACCATAGCAATTTATATCTAATAATATGTGAGCCAATTTTGATTTTGTTAGTGAATAAAATCGTTTTAGTGTATTGCCTAATGTGTTCATATAACATTGTATGATGCACTAAACGCTCTCTATGCCGAACAAAACAGAGCTGTTGGGTCTGACAAGGCAAGGGAAGGCGAGGTGTCGGAGTGGTTTGTCGTGTATTGACGGTTCACGAGCGGGCATACAATGGTCGCTAGTTTGATGTGAACGAGCACGCCTTGCAACCGATCCAGTCTGTGCGGTACGGACGCAACATCACTAAAGCAACTCAAAATTATAGACACGAAAAAAAAAATGGAAAACGTCAATCTGTAGGGTTAGGTGTGGTGCAAGTTACCTATGTCGGCTCCAACCTTCCGCTGGTGTGCGGTCACTAAAAGTTTAGCCGAATTCGTTAATGTCTCACATATTAAATACAGTGTGTTGTTATAAATTGGCTGTGGAAAGAACCTACTGTGTATGTGATTAAATCGATATATTTAAAAGTTATTTAAATACAAAATGTGTTACACTTTGACAGCACAGACATACAAGTTGTGGCTTCAAGAGAATGTTCCCTAGAAAGTATGTCACAGAATTATATTGTAATTGTTAAATTTCACGCTTATCATGTACATTTAGTTCTTACAGTAATTATCAAGGAGAAGAGAAACATAATAATGTAATGGATCTTACAGTTTTTGCATTTGCATTTCTTGATAAGGGTTTCATCCTTGATGTCTTCGTGACAAGCCTTACAATAATACCACGCCCTGGAAAAAGAAATAAAAATAAATTAAAGACCTAATGAAACATGCAAGAGCGTATTTGCCGTTGTTTTGATTCCAAGATATATTTACATCAACATATAATAACATTCATAACTAGCTGTTGCTCGCGACTTCGTCTACGTTAAATAAAAAAGCCCATGTTATTCAGTGCTAACATAGCTTTTTAATAGTACAATTAGTTTTGAAATCGGCCAAGTAGTTTTAGAGTTATTTCAATACATATAAAAATACAAATCTCCTCTTTATAATATTAGTATAAATAATAAAATCGACGATTTGGTATCAAAAGTGTTTAAGTTTTAGATAAATATTTTGCAAAAAAAACGGTTACCTTTTGACTTCATCAGCGGACTGCGCTATAAAGAATCCTTGCGTGTTAGCATGGATCTTGGCGTTGCGCGGGTTTATTGAGATTTTGCTGTCAGCACCTTCTTCCCCTTTGATCTCGATAGCTAGTAGCAGCAGCTTTAGTTTCGTGAAACATAACCTAGCACCAAATAACATGTTTTATTACTATAATAATTAAATTATTACTAGAATTGGCTTTAAACTGCTTTTGGAGTTTTTACTTTTGTAAAATATCACAACCATTATTTGAGCTATTTAACCCTCTACGATAACGTGTCGTTCTTTTATTTCTTTGAACACTTTACCCATATACACGATGTCCGGAATTCTGGATAGTGGCATAGTTAGTTTAAATAGATTTTTTTAGGCGTCAAAGAATATACTGTTGTAAACGTCATTTCCAGTTTTCCTATATACTTAATCTCCAAACATATAAGAAATTGAAAACGTAATACCAAGTATTTAACGAAAACTACAATGGTAAACAAATTTCAACTCATTGCTTGAAATTATCTCAGACAAATCGCGCAATATTTTAATAAATAAATTATTAAAAAGAAACCTTTTAACTTACTTCTAATTGTTGTAAAATTTCATGCTAAGCACTGATGGTTAATTTTTTTTTTACAAACAAAATTAAAATTCAAATATATTTAATTACTAATTCCATTGCCGTTAATGTTAACACATGCGACAGCAACAGTCCACTACTAGTTCATTTGCACGAGCGTTTTTTTTACGCTGCGTTAAAACTCGACGTTGGCGGCTCACGTGGTACGTACGCTTGAAAATCTCTTGTTTCGTTCGCCCACCAATTAAAATGCAACACCGCACGATATAAAAACGCTAGCGTATAAACAGATATAGATACAGATACAGATAGGAGAATTCGTTCTAGGTTAACGTTTTTTTTTTTAACGCGCGTTATAAAAGCGCCCGTGCGAAATTTTTAAGCTTATAACCATCATGCATAACGAAGCAGGTAAAATCTAGAATTAATTGGTGATCATGAAGTGCGGAGAATTAAATGGGAAATAGCAAAAACTGAAGCGAGAGAAATTAGGAATATCAACAGTGAAGGAATGGTTAAAGAAAAACAATTGATAGTATCCATTAAAACGTAATTTTTTAATATTGCAATCCGTCTTACTTTTTTATTTACGGTCCTCAGTCAAATAACAAAATTGGATATAACAGTGATTACAATGGTACATCTAGGATATTGTCACGCCGCAAAATCTTGGGAAATATTACATATTTTAGTAACAATTCCTAAAGTTAGAAATATGACAAAAAAAAGATGCCGTAAATATTAGAAGTCCGATAATGATTTACGCCTACAATTCCTCTTGCAAATGCTAATGAGAGCTGGTAACAATTTCTTACAAAGCTTACCTCGTTTCTTCTTAATTTTTAATATTCGAAAGTAAACATAATGATATAAATTTATGAATTTAATGAATTTTGAAACTTCGGTAGAAAAAATTCGAGCATACATGACACTACATGTGGTAATGAATTGATCTAATTCCAATTTCTTCTTCTAACATGCATTAATCTAAAATTAATAGAACACACTGTTGGTTAATAATTTTGAATCTAGAATTAGCTACTTTTGTGAGAATTGTCGATAATATAATGTGGTTAGTGCATTCTCCGCCTAATATAAGGGCACACATCGACTAGGGTGCAGGTTGAGAGGCCACTCGGGCTGTCTTACTCGCTCGCTTGCGGGAAGCTCATCCCCGTGAAGGAGGTCGAGAGAGTCTCCGTGTACATCTCACAGCCCGTACCTTGGAGATAATCGTTCTGCCAAGCTTGCGTGTCGGGGGACTGCAATCAACGAATGGGATACTAAAGCTCGTGCCGAGTTAGTTACAGCCACAGTTTGTACCGACCCTAACATCTTGACTCCTCACACTCGCTTCACCTAGAGTTATCCAATTAAGCACGAATGGACTTGAGAGGAGAAAATCAGAGAAGCCGGCAAATTAAAAAAGAAAGAGAAGTTAAGGGGTAAAGGAGATAAAGCGTTGTTAGTCGGTGATGTCGTTCGTCGTTCGACCAGCGTAATGGATGTGGATTGTAACACTGGAGTGCAAACAGCAACACAGTTGCGGTACTGCAACATCGCGGAGCAGTACCGCAAGCGCCCTCACTTACTCTGCCGCTTGTTTGAACGGCATCCCCACAAAGGTACTGCTAAGAGTCTCGGTGTACATCTCCATGCCCGTTCCCCGCATGTAGTCATTAGTCCATATAGCCATGTCCTGGGACTGTGGAAATTCCGCATAAAATTCCTTCAGTTTGATATATTCGAAAAGATACTGTTTAAAATGGAATTACTACATCTTTAATAACAATTACCTCGATAAAAACTGTTTTTTATCGAATGGATCTTTTCGAACATACACATAACTTTACTAAACGAAATGAAAAAATATAACAACAGTCCAATATAACCAATATTTGGGTGGAACAGATGCCAAGTTGTAGCTTTTCGATAAAAAATAAATCTTTTATAGAGTTCAATGTGACGTAATCATGTCACATCCATGCTATAAAAATACCAGCCGGTATTATACAGAATAAAGTAGACATCAATAAATCTGACCGTTTTGAAGCTCCTCATGGCGAAGAGGTTGGCCATCATGGTGGAGAAGCCCGGCGCGAGGCAGCTCTGCGCGATGAAGCCCAGCTTCAGCTCCGCCAGACAGATCACGTCGTCGCCCTGCTTCCAGTCCCACGACGGGATGTTCAGTAGATACGCCTAAAAGAAGTCTTATTATACTAATTCTATCAGTAGTAAAAAGACGGTATTCAGAAACAAAAGAACTGTTAATCTGAGAAAATAATGTAGGCTTCTACTATACTTTTTGAGGAGTATAAAAGCAAAGTGTTTCTTTCATTCTAGACAAACACAAACCTACTAAATAAGCGTAGACCCATTTTAGTGGCTTGCTTTTAGAATCTTAGAAGACCGAAATCTATTTTAACAGTTTCAATAGCAAAGGAATGATTAGTAAGTAAATAAGATATGCAATTGGGGAAATGTACTTGAATATTACCTTGTTGTGATACTGCATAAGCTGTATGATAACTCTGATGTCATCGGAATAATTCTTAATTGAGATGACCCTCATTATATTAGCGGCGTCCTCCGCATCAGGGTCTTGGCAGTATTTGTTTGCTAGCACCAAACAGGCATCCGCTTCGTGTACCTAATACATACAAAAAAAGTAAATAAAAACACAAACCGAATGATTTTCAGACAACACAAACTAGACTTCATTCTTCAAAATCGATCAAGTTCTTTCGTAGAAGGAATGTACACTTTCCGCTTTAAATGTTACCCAAAAAAACTAATAACAATAAGCTTTTGTAGATTAGAGTCCTTAAAATTGTTAATCAGAACTGAGTTTTAGCTCTTAAGAACTAATTCTTTAATATTATTAAAAGCATGGTCTTAATACTCAGGTTAAATTTTAAACAGTTTTAAGAGACAGAATCGTCATAGAATTTGAATTATTTAGTTTTACTCTATCCTTTAACACAGGAACCACTATAGGTGATGAAACTATGGTTACGACCATTATTATACGTAATCAGCCATTAGACTTGTCGCACAAACCACTATTGCATATTATCATCGGTTTTCATATTGATTTGTTTTAGTTCAAAATTACTAACTATAGTTAGTAGTAGATAGTAGTTTAAGTTATTGTAGAAATTCCTTATACAATCATGCAATGTAATTAACAAATTTACACGAAGCGTGAAGGGGCATGCCACTCAAGCAAACAAACCAGTGATAATGACCACTACGACAACAACAAATAATAGTGTTCAACACTCTCTTTACCTTCTTAACTTACTACAATCTCAGCCAAAGTAAATTGGAGATGTGGTCTTCAAAAATTTATAGAAAGTTCCAATTTTTTATCACGTGTAGTGTTCATTTTCAAGGCACGTAGTGAACGCGGTGGAATTAGCATGCATTACAATAAACAATCTAAGGAACTCACAAGCCATGCGACACTTAGACAACTCACCATAAACACTCGACAATATCGACAATCGGTTAATTCGAACTACTCGTGAAAGCGAATTTTGAATATGGATACCCTTTCTTCGGCTGCCATTAATGCCAATTACAAGAAACGTGTAAACCGATTCGAATTTTGTAGTCAATATCGATTGTTTAGAGTATGAACATGTGGTGAGCATCGCAAACAACACCCAGTAGTTAGTTACAGACAGACAGAGAGCGGGCGCGCGGGCGTGCCGTGCCGGGAGGGAGAGACAGTAGCGAGACACGCACAAACAGCCTCCAACACGTCATCACAGGAGAAGGTAGCCGTACACTTGGAAGGAACGCCCTCTCAGCGAGGTTAACGAACGAGCATCGCTCTAGTCTATAGGAAGGATAGTCTGCACAGCTTCAAACCGACACCACGCCCAAAAACAATCAATCGCATGACCACAGTGTGGCGCTTACTTACTTTCACCCTCTGTAGGTCGATTGGATTCATAATGGTGCCTTGAAAGAATTCCACGGTAGTAAAGTGTCTCTTGAACAGGCCTTCGAGCTCCAGGTCTGGCGGTTTCCTGCCATCAACTGTTAGTTAGCTAGGAGCGCCGGCATCGGGGGCCGGTCGCCGCCGGCCGGCCGAGCGGCCGACTGTACCATGCACGCTAGGTAACAAAATACGCGGCGGTGCGGCGGGCAGGCGGCGCCGCGGACGTGCCGCCGCGTCGACTTCCCGCCTCTCAAGCGATGATTGCAAAGAACCAAGATAAATTTACTTGAGTGTATAAACTCCTACTGTGACTATGGTCTTTAAGGAATAAAAAAGTTCTTATTATGCATAGAAATAAAAAATACTGGTCGACGTAGACGCGTATCGATGATAAACAGGGCCGTGCTACTAATGCCTGCGCTATTCGGTCTTAGTCTAACCTTGACTCGTTCAAGGTCGACGGCATTCATCATTGTACCCTGAAAAAACTCGACGGTGGTGTAGTGACGTTTCAGGAGACCCTCCAGCTCTAGGTCGGGCTCTTTCCTGAAAGCGTCGTTGCATCACACATCACTCGCCGTCCCAACAACTCTCATCTTAATACTGGATATTTTAACTTTTAACTTACTTCTAAACGTAACCTTTAATTACACATTACATACGAAACTGGTCTATTTTTCTATTTCAAAGTCCCTTTTGGGTAAAATTACATTTACTTCGTATTTTATTTTGTAGAATAAACACACAATATCACATTTATCATAAAAAAAAATCAGAATTAAAAGTAGCCAATTTGACATTTTTGTTAATTTACGATCGCAAATTAAATAGCTTAATTCGATGTTTAAACACAAATTAAAGATTTACTATTTAAAGGTTATTTTTGGACATCGTTTTGAATTCTCGTTGCTTATTGATTTGAAACTGAAGATCATATGATTTAGTAACTCCAGTTTCATTATAACGGTTCCCACAACATATACTGTAATAAACAATATAGTATAATATTAAAATAAAAATATAATAATTAAGACAACTCACCTATGTAAAAAAACAACCTCAACATCCACATCCTCTCTGTCTTCGTGTAGGAAGTCTTTTAAAAAATGGCTTACTGATTCGTAAGTTATATGTCCACATACAACTATATGCCTGAAAAATTATAAATATATTATAGACTTTGTTATAATCTTTAAAAATATTCTAAAAAGTAATTGCTTGAAATTAAATCAAAAAAGCTGTTAAGCGAATCAAATGTCGCAATTCTGAGGCTTTGCGTTTGCAAATTATTAATTTGAAAAATATTCAATTTTGAATTGGACTTACAAAAAAGCTGTTTCAATACTTGAGCTTAAAAATATAACACGAGCAACATTTTAAAAAGCATCACAAATACATACAGAAGAGATAGAAGGAAGAACAGCAATTTGAAGTTTTATTTAACACCTGGGACCATGGTAAGGACATTCTGACATCGAGAACAAAAGGCAAAGGTCGCAACAGGGTTAAACAAAACAATAAGTGAGGTAAGCATGAGATTATCAACGTTGAAAAACTCTTAGGTAATTAAATCAACAGAAAATTCTAGAATTTCAAATTCGAAATAAAAAAATTAAGATATTGTACCATTGAGACTTTAACAACGTTGATTTTGATGTACAAAATATTTATGTTCATTCATTTTTGAATCTATTTAATGTAGATTTTATACAGAATGTGATTGTATTTTAAGAAATATGTTTTTAAAATTGGACATCATCAAAAATGAAAAAACATACTCAGTAGCGTTCAGGTCTTGTGTAACTATGTTTCTACCACACTAAAGACGAAATGTTCGACACCAAAAGGTTTAATTTTTGGTGAGGTGATACTCGTATTGTAAAACGCAAGATATTTTCAAAAGAAACTAACAAACTATAACACTCAAACAATGGAACTGACGGATTCTAATTTTTTAAATGTAATGTAATGATATTTGTATGTAAAAGATTAATCTTTTAACATTAAGGACTATTTGATTTGATAAGTATTAAGTAAACAACAAAACAGTTCCTTAATGTTTCAAGAGAATTTAAATGTATACGTTATATTGATAGAAGATATTAAAAGCTTGCGTCTCAGTACACTTTTCGAAATACTCGAGTTTGAACAAAGTTAATGTTTACATTTGATTAATTCTGAATATCTGGGATGGAGCCTCAATTCTTTATAAGTTCAAAATTAAGAAAGGGTTAGGCGGCGCTCAAATGCAATGTGTGACTGCATACATACATTAGTGTTCGAAACATTGATGAGGTTCGTGTAACAAAGTTAAACAGACAGAGTAAACGTCAAATAAAACATCGTGGAAAATTATATGGACAGAAATAAAGTTGGGATGCGTTATGCGTGGCTACAATACCATAACATACAACATGCAGACTAGAATTCATCTAAGGTGTGGCAAAGGAACTGAATTCATTTCTTTCAAAATCAACAGTTAATCTACCTTGTTAATCAAATGTCGCATAAAATCGCAAATAGTTATATTAAATTCGAAAACTTTAAATGTATGAACTGTGTGAACTCGCCGCTAAGATGATGTTTTGAATGTCGAATGGCATGTCCAAAACTAAATCTATTTCTGCGTTAAAATGTCCTCAATGCACACAGCCTTGCCACGCTCTATGAATTTTTTACGCAAATACATTACACTAAGTTTACCGAGGGGGTCGACTCATAATTACAATACAAATAACAATACATTAAGTGGGGCAACATCAAGAGTAAGAGAACAAGTACATTTACAAATTCGTGCAGGCAGGGAGGTAGAGGAGGCGAGCGGAGCGGGTGGCGTCATGGCACTCACTAGTCGCGGTCGCATCGGCAGCGCCACGCGGG